GCAAGTCATTTAAAATATTTTAACTGTTGGGGAAAGTTGATTTGGCTATTCAGTCTTAACCTATCCTAAATCCCATAATAAATGCTGATTATTTGTTCTTTCTTCAGCGTAAGGGAAAAGTCAGCGTTGAAGGTTGGGTACAAGGCTTTTATGATCTGTTGTTGTAAACTCATACCCGCCGTTTGTGTAGCCATTTCCTTCTGTGGTTTTCCGTTCAGTTTAACCCCTCGGAAAAGTCAGTTTTGACCATTCAGTGTTTAACCTACTTCATGGCTCTAAATAACAGATCATTATTGGTTAGTCATGACCAACAAATAGTTAATAAAAGATTTTAACCAATTGATTTCAGGTTAGATGCACATTTTTACCATTTGCTTAACCATTTGGTTTCGTTATTTTGACTGCCTTGAAAAGTTATTTTGACCAGTCGATATTCTAACGGAATTATAACCGTCACAACAACTGCTGATCATTGGTTAATCTAACCAATAACATAAAGGTTACGATTTTAACTAGTTTATTTTAGGTTAAAATTACCTTTTGCAACTGGTTATAACCTTTTAATATAGTTACCATAACTGGTCTGTTTTTACAGTGTAACCACTTCCGAAACATTTCCCTAGTGAGCTCACCTGATTAACGGCGCAACGAGGGCGTTGATTGTTGGAGGCTAGCTTTGACTACATTCTAAATTAATAGACTGTAATTCTTTATCGACACTATATGCCAGCAATCTAGCTTGACTCCATGATATTGTAAATAACCCAAGAATCAAATCATACTCACGGTGGGTGCTTTCCATTTTGCCAAACAAAAAGTCAGCAACCAGAGGAATGCTCAAGAGAAAATAGAACGACATTGTTCGATTAAATCAAAATTTTCAGTCGAATCGACGCGATCCATTTGCGTTTCGATCGAAATTGTGATTACTGCTTAGCATATTAAAAAGCAGGACTAGAAACGAGAATGTTTGGAAATGGAACGGCAAGTTTCGTTCGATGGAGAGCCACCTCTGGAGGTGGACCACAAATTTCCAGGCGGACTGAAGCGGCGTTCCACTTGTTTCTCGACCGAAAATGTTTTTGACATAATGAAAAGCACCCGGTATATGCATAACAACTGAGTTGTTGATGTTGCACTAATTGTAATCGCCTTATTATAGGAAATGAACGCTCCATGAAATTAAGGTATTGGAAATTAACGCGACTTAAATTAACGCGAATTTAATGGAAAACGACTCTCGAATAAAGAAAATTAACGCGAAAGAGGAGGTAGAATTTCATAATAAAGAAAATTAACGCGATTAAGACACAGTTGGTGGTGACAACTGGAACAAATTTATTTCAACACTGGATGTAAAAAAATTCAAAACTGAACAAAACTGAGCTGACATCACTTCTGACAGCGACAACGATGAAGATGAATTCGAAATATTGTTAAACTTTTGCCTTAGCTTTTGTGAAAGATGAAAAATAAAGGGTAAATGGAAAGAAAGAAAGCTTGTAGTTAATGTTTTTTAGGTGTAAAGAATGTCTGTACAGGTTCCAAAATTGGGGGTTAAAATACTGAAAATCAAGAGCGCGAAAATTAAAGCTGCACTTAATTAACGTCGCGGAAATTAACGCTCAACAAAACTAACGCGACATAAATTAACGCGAATTTTAACGATTCGCGTTAATTTCATGGAACGTTAATTTCCTATAATAAGGTACACGTTTGTCAAGCTTGGACAAGTTTATGGATAACATGTATGCAGTCTTTCTACGAAGAGCACCGCCAGAACACGCCCTAAGTACGTAATACGTTTACTTAATTGAATCTTAATTGCGCGTTCGCCCTGTACAGAAAATAGGGGCAAATGACATAAATAAGCAATTAATATTATTGCTTGATGAAGGGCAGGAACTAACACTAGTAAGCTTCCGGTTTAGGAAGGTGCCCAGCGTTTATAAAGAGTTGCCTGAATTATAAATAAGTACACACTAACTTGTGACACAGCCTATCATCTATCATGGACACCCAACGACCAAATGTTTTCAAATTCGTCAGAAGTGTCTCAATTGGTTTTCTTTACGTTTAAGAATCCTGTTTAGTTTATTTGGAGCTGTCCTAAAAACCATTTAATATCTGTTTTTGCGTCTTAGGAGACCTTTGGTCGTCACTTTTGCGTCTCATTCAAAACTGTTATAGCTGTCCTGATGGGTGCGAGGTCAAAAGTTCGAGGACATGGAGTATCCGTACTTTTATAAAAAAATTTCTAAGGCACTTGATGTCTTAGTGGAAAAAAATTCAAGGAGGTCTTGTTCAGTTTTTTTTTTTTAGCAATAACCGTAATATCTTGCACGGTTGATATAAAATGTGTGCATAAAAAATTTTACGTAAAATCATCGAAAAACTCTGAATATCTCAAACGAATGGACCCGCGTTATCCAGAAATTTTAACTTTTCTCGAACTTAAGAAATTTCTACGCAAAATTTGCTCCCTCGAGCAGTTTTTTTACAGAGAAAAGTCGTCATTCCCTATGCAGCTGTTTGAAACCACGATCTGATGCACAACTACAATCCTTTAAATTACAATTCTTTAATTTGTTCTCCGTTCAAGAAAAACATCTCTGGAACCTGCAGGGTAATGCACAACGTTTGCAGAATGAAAAATCCTAACAGAGACCTAAGTATCCGGAGCGATCTGTCAAGCAGACCGTAAGAAGTACGACACGTTGAACGCGCGCGACACGCGTGTCTCATTTTCGCTTGGTTTGTGTTTTTTTTTTCGCCACGACCCTGATATCGGTAACAGGCTAAATTGTTCCTTTCATGGTAGTTATCATGGCGTTTCTCTGCCCTTACATTTCCTACTGGGCTTAGAAAATTTTCTGATCTAAATTCTATTGAAATGATTCAGAAGATATTAATTATTTATTAAATCGGCTTTGGGCCATACAATTTACTCCATAATTATCAATCCTGTCCTTGTTTGTTTGTTATTGCCCAATAAACAAGCGCACAAGGGAGGGGTGGGGAAGGGATTGCAGCCAAATTGTAAATAGTCATATTCTTAAAACATAAAGGGAAGGTTTTATATATTACTTTCTAAAAACTGGGTATCATTGCGAACTCGCGCAAAGTAATTGACAGCTCTCTTTGGCTTGATTTGATCTGTGGAAAGGGTACTCTACAATTTTCGCTTAGGTATAGCTTCAAACCTGTTTTATTCTTCTTCGTCTTTTTTTTCCCTTATTTCAGTCTCTGTTTTGACCAGTCTGCTTAAGCTGCGTTTACGCATGGCTGGTATTGTCTTTTACAAAGCCTAAAGAGATTCATATTATATGCACATCTTTCGAATTCTCAAGATGTACATTGCCAGCGACATATTCTTTTTTTACTTTCATACCCGGTACAGTGCCTTTTAATCCTAGCTCTGAAAATATATGAACCACGCATGCTGTCTCACTCAAATCACTAATAAAAGTGTTGTCCAAGTAACTAATTTAACTCATCAATCCTTTTTATGAATAATTTATATCCTAAAAGCAATCTGTGTTTAAGAATAAGTTAGGTTTTGCAAATGTATCAGTAAGTTGACGTTGGCTTTAAGTAAACTGGTCTCTCGCGAACTCACACTGGGTGTTGCTATAATGGTGACTTGGAACTTAGAAGTAGTTTTGCTGTTGGTTTGTACTCTTTGGGGCCCTAGTATATATTGCATCTCAGCAGCAAATCAAGGTGACTTCAGTGATCTAATACATTCAACATAAAGAATTATGTTATGCTTATTTTCCGGTTTATTCACTGACCTAACGTAGTTCACGGGGGTCCACCTGTGTTTTTTAAGCCTCCAATATACGGATTTTGGTTTTTACTATATCTCTTAAGACTGAATAACCCTTTAAAGATTTAAAAAAAACTACTCAGTTACAATTACGATATTTCTCTGTTGACAAATAAAAAGGTATATTTAAAATTGTATTTCACACTGCTGCAGGTTTTTAAAAGCGCTCTCTTTTTAAAACATAGCGGCTGTTCTCAGGTACTCGTGCTCGACGCTTTTAATTTTTACCTGTCCCGGTAAGGAGAACCTGAAAATAGGTTACTTTACTCTAAAACATTTCAAGTAGTTGCCGAGAGGCACCAAAATGTCTTAAAGGAATATTTCTCTGGAAATTTCAAGTTGTTAATGTAAATTAAAACCAATTTGCTGTGTTTTGTTAATTGTGGTAGCTGGATGTCGCCACTTAAAGTTTATTTCACCTGCCGACAACCGTCGACTCGAAGGTCACGTGATTTGGAATCATTCTATCGGTATTCACGGGTCATGTCATCATTTTTGTGCCATGGAGAGGGAGTGCGTGTCAATCAACATAAGTCCTGTTTTAAATGACACAATGGTGTGTGAATTGAATGATGCTGACGCCCTACAGAATCCAGGTGATCTTAAGGTGACACCAGGCTGGACCTATAGGGGAACGGAGGTAAGAAATAAAAGATATTGGATATTGCAATACATCTTTTTTGTCATTTCTAGGTAGCAACGTACATTTCCGATTCAAGCGGCTGGGCTGTAAACTAAGATGTAAAGGGCATTTAATTAACAAGAAAGGCATAACGCCAAGAATCCCTCTATTTTTAGCACAAATTTTGTAGCCTGTTATGCGCGTTTGTTTGTTTGTTGATTTTGTTAAATTAGTGTTTAGCTCAATTCTTCCGTCAACAAATTTATAACTCACCGAGCTGCAGTTGATGCTTTAGTTGCATAAACAACTGTTTCAAGTTATCAACAAACGCGGTTCATACTTAACGACCTTGAATTTCCTGAATCTTATACGTCAAAATTTCCGTGTTCCTAAAACCCTGACTTTCAAAATGAGGCCAAGTGCTCAACATTTCTTGTGAAAATGAGTTTTATATACATGAGAATGAAAAGTCAATTCCATGTCAAAGGCTGAGCACTTAACCTCGTCTAGATACAGAGGCCCGAAACTCGGAAATGGCCTATAACAATATTATTTGAAAGAAAGAAGACCATCGCGGTTATAGACGCAACTTTTGCAGTCGGGAAAAGAAAGCCTGAAAAAAATTAGGCTTGCACAGGATTCGAACTTTTGACTTCTACGATACCGGTGCAGCGCTCTACCAATTGAGCAAACAAGCCAACTGGTAGCAGGTCGTTGAATTGGTTCGTTATAGACCCGTGAAAGGATGATGATGAAGTTTTGAATATTTGAAAATCATATACGTGAACTGCGGGGTGAAGAGTTATACGAAAATTTTTTCAGGCTTTCTTTTCGCAACTGCAAAACTTGCGTCTATAATTGCGATGATCTTCTTTCATATAATTCTTCATCCCGCAGTTCACATAATTGTATGATTATCATAAATCTAAAACTTCAATATTTTTTGTTTAAACATTTTGGCCGCTTTAATTTTAAAGAATTTATCTTTTCATTATACAGAATATATGCTCCAGTAACCCGTGTTTTAACAACGGGCAGTGCCTGAACGGATTCACTAATAAGAAATATCTCTGCTTGTGTCCAGAGGGTATTGGTTATACTGGTGAAAACTGCAATATAGGTAAGAATGATAGGCCTAACGTACTCGTTTAAACGTGAACAGGATCCCTAATCGCGGCTGTCATATGCATATCCCCATAAGAAACACACATTTCAAGGTAACAGTTCCCCCATCTTAAGGAACCAAGACCCCGATTGGAAATTTAATGGAATAATATTCAGTTATCCCTAAACTGCATGTCTCCCATATTGTGCTATTGCTTTCAATTTTAGCGATGATTGGAAATTAATATTATATACTCTGTTTTAATTTTACTCTGCGAGGAGAGGTTTTGTAGGCATAGCGCATTTACGAATGTTGGATCCGTCTCTTAATGTCTTCGTTAAACAGGTGTTTGATTGGTGTGAAGCCTAGACGGTCTCTATCACTCCCCAATAATAGTTGACTAGTGGTCAGAAGATTCGCCATTTAAGTTTTGCAGTTGGATTCCATAGGTTCCTAAGCTGGGGTGAACTTTTTCTAACAAAGATCAGCTCCAATCCTCCTATCCAGGGTTAGCTACCATGACAACAGCTTTGCTACCGAGGTTCTCTCCTACTAGTGCTTCCTGGGAACGAGGTTGTCATAAAAACAATCTCCTTCCCGAAGCTCTCTCCTACTCGTCCCCTTGAAGCGAGTTCGCCATGCATGACAACTCATAATTTCTCATAATGATGCCTTGTTTGCAACGTAATGGTAGAATAGTAGAGAAGACTGTTTATCATACAAAAAAAAACGCCGGCACAAATCAGGGAAGTAAACAATATGGTGCTGAGGAATATATCGAAATATATTAGAAGCTTACTGATAGTGTACAGTATCTATTCTTTTCTGTTCACACATTGTTACTAAATAAGTCACAGAGACATATCTATTGGTCAGTTAGCTAAAAATAATTATAGCAATGCTATTAAGGTTGTGCACGGAGTGAAAAGTCCAAAGAGCGAACCTTAGTCTTAGCTAAATCCGTCGGACTTCATTATTAAGTTTGAAGTGAACCCAGGATTGGCGTTAAACGTGCTTTGAAGCCCCTCGTCCTTGATCAATAGTCTTTATACTGCATGCTGTACTATACTCTCTTTACTTTATATTAGCACATTTTTTGAATGCATGTGTTCTATTATTATCATCATCATCATCTTTTTATTTTTCGTAACGTTGTTGTTTCTTGGATAGACATCAACGAATGCGAGGACGGCAGCCATAACTGCGACAGGGATGCAAACTGTACAAACACTGCTGGCTCCTTTATTTGTACCTGTAATCCTGGACTTGTGGGAAACGGACGATCATGCACAGGTATAATGATCCTTATAAGTATCGATCACAAATAACCAGGTTAAAACTGTATTATTTGCAGGTATTTACCAAAATTTACGATGAAAGCATTTCGTAAATTAGAATAGGAAGAAACGTTTCACGAGGTGGAAAGAATTAATACTTCATGGAAAGTGCGCGCCTACGGAATTTACGCGCGAGCTGTTCTTAATCGTAAGAAATCGAACGAGTGAGCGCATGTGCATAAATACCGTAAAAAGCACTTTCATGTGGTATTGTGC